TGGATGGCCCTTGGGGTCGCTTCCAACTCTATGATTCTATGATTCTAAGAGTAGATTTTGGAAAAATGTCTTTGAAGGACTACAACTCCTAGAATCCCCTCTATCCATTCTGGCTGGGAAATCCTGAGCGTCCAGCAACATCTTGATTCCACAACAACAGAACCAAGGCAGAAATTAAGTGTTGAGCAGGTGGGCAAAGCTGGCACCCGAGGAGCCAGGAAATCACAACCCTTTCCAAACTCAGCCCTGCATCTCTCCATAGAGTTCAGCCCCTGAGGAGGCAGCAATGACGGCTCTTTTGGCTCTGGGAAACAGCGGCACTCCTCCGGGTGATATTGAACATGACAAGAGGAAAGGCAGCAGCTTGTCTGACCCAAAGCCTTGTCGCACAGTGTTAAAACAGGCCAAGATGAGAAAGCTGCAGCCGGAGACGATGGCCCATGATCAAGGGGAAGGGGGAAGGGGAGGTGAGCATCAACAGCAGCCTTTGCTTCCCTGGCTGTGGCTCCCTCCTAGCCCTTTGCATGCTAAACAGATGCTTAAAGCCCCTGCATCCCTCACCCTGACAGCATGAAAAATGACCCTGGATGAGGAGACCAAGGGAAAAGCGGATAGATCATTCTTTCCTTACAGAGCCGGAGGGAAGCCAGGCTCCAGGGCTGCAGGCACACAAGGCAATGAGGAAGACAAATAGATGACCTGCAGGGAGCTAGCAAGAGGTCCTAGGAATAGATGCATAGTGCAACCCACAGCTGAGCCATCCCATGCTCAGCTGCACCAGTCCAATCGATTCCTAAGCATTTTTTGTTTTTTTGGTTTGTTAACTGCCTTCACATCAGTCTCGACCCATGGCAATGACCCTATGGATGAGAGATCTCCAGCCCCCCCATCCTCCACTCCTTTGACCAACTCTTGCAAACTCATATTCGTGGTCTCTTGAATAAAGTCCCTCCATCTAGCATGTGGCCTTCCTCTCTTTCTACTTCCCTCCACCTTTCCTAACATTATTGTCTTTTCCAATGATCCATGCCTTAGAATCATAGAATCATAGAATCATAGAGTTGAAAGAGACCACAAGGGCCATCCAGTCCAACTACTGAGCTTAACAGAGCAACTATTCTGGTCCAATCTCATGATGTGTCCAAAGTACAACAGTCTAAGTCTTGTCATCTTGGC